ATTTTTTTATAATACTAAGGGACATAAAACGTTTGACAGATTTGACACAGTTCTTTTTCAAAATTCATATCTTATATATGTATATTATATATGTCCCAAAGTGTTTTAATATTCAAACATGTTGATTTTTCAGGAAGCGGTAGAGGACGCTGTCTGTCGATGTCGGCTGTCTAGTGAATTTGAACCTGTCTCATGAATACTGCCTTGCTGTTAAATGTGAAGCACTGCTTGTGGGGCGTGCTGTTGTGGCGTAGCTGCCAAAGATGCAATGTAGTGGAATAATGCTGCACTTATTAAATCTCTGGGGTCTGTTGGTACTGTGAGGTTATCATGAAGAGATTTTCTTCTCTCACTTTTTTCTGCATCCTTTACCATAGACACTGTATCACTACTGTCTGTACAGTTGTCTTGCCTTTGAAATGAATTGTAGAACATGGAAAAACTTTTTTCCCAACCTTTTAATCATTATCGCTTTTTCACCAGAGTAATGATTAACATTTGTTTTTAATGGAGCTCCTCCTTTTAATCATTTTGTTTGTTTTCTTAAAAAGCTATTGATTTAAACTTGCCCAAGCCTATAAAAAGTCAAACTGTGCACTCACAATGGATAAAAACACAGCTGTTACTAAACCAGAATTTTTGTGCTTGCAAAACAAATAGATAAAAAAAAAGAAAGAAGCATCAGATAACTCTGTATTAGCTTTTTCTCTTCAGCCAACAATAAGAGCAAGCTTACATTTAAAATTCTGTGGACAGTCAAATAAATAAAATAAACAAATTATGCCTTTATGTTTGTTGGAATAAAAAGTAATGATGAACAAATTGCCTCTTTGGAATATAGGATTACCCTTTAGTTACTATGGCCTGAATCAAGAGTCTTTAGTAGTTCATCTAAACACTCATTAACTGTTACTAAATATAAACACTTTGGTATTTAATAAAGCAATATAACTAGTAAAAAAATTAAAAAACAAATCTATTGAATCCTGATCAATACTTCCTGCTATATTCTTATTAACCATAAGAATATTTAAAAAGGTAAAAAAAATTTTTTTGAAAAGCAATCAAAACACGCATTCTACTTTATTACACAAATGTTCAATATGTCAGTATGTATGATTCCAAAACAAAAATTTATTATTTTATGTCTGCTCTCAATACGTGCCAAAAAGTACTCTACATTTAAAGGTCCCATATTATGCAAAATTCACATTTAGTATCAGTCATATTTGTCCTGAAGCATGTGTATTAGGTCCACAAATGACATGAAATAAAACATTTCATCTCCATCATTGCCTTTCTCCACCTCTTAGCGATCGTGTACTGTTGGAAAACATTCCCCTTATGATGTCATCAGGGGGAAAAGCTGTCCAGAGAGCTCTGTAGCAGCCCATCAGTCAAGCTACAGCCTTCATCTAGTGTATTATTCCGCGCACCTAGACGCTATCTTTACGACCTCTGACTGGATGTCAAGGTTGCGGGTTGTAGGGGTGCGGCCTTTGAGAAGACAGAGAGTGGAAGGCAAAAAAGGCTTATTTAGAGGAGTTCTGTGTAAAAAGTTTTTTGGTCACGGCTGTCTGATTTGAGATTAATTTTCCTAAACAAATGGTACTAAGAATAAAGGACAGGCCAGGTCTCCCTCGAAAAAGATATTTATCTCAAGGGACATCCTGGTAAAATAAAGGTTAAACAAAAAAAAAAAAACATATTTGAGAGTGATAAAATGCTACTTTGAAAGAAACTTGTAAGGCCTTTTTCCCCTATCATTATCTTATAAGCCACACTCAAAACAATTTAAGTGTCCCATAATATTCTTATACATTATAGATTTAAAAATAAAAATATAAAAAATGAGGCTTCCAGATTGTTTTTTTTTTACATATGTCTACAAGGGGAAACAACAACATACATATTTTCTTTAAATAAAATCATGTGTGGTAGAGCTACTCTTAACTCCAACAACCCCTTTAAAATAAAGGTTCTTTAACCATTTTATAGAACTATTTCTGAATCAGATTTTTAAGTTAAAAACAGTGTCTCTTAGTGTTTCTAATAATGAATCCATGGAATTCCTTTAAGTGTGTATGAAGTACATATGAAGACAACATTTCCATTTTGCTCTGTTTCCAATCTGCAACAAAACAAAAAGAGGCCCTTGGAAGTCACCAAAAATCTACCCAACAATTATTGGGTACCACCCTTAGTATGTGCAACTGTTTTTTGGGGTATTAAACCAGAAAGAAAGCTGTTTTGTCTTACCATCAAAAAAATTAAAGCAGAGTTCTAAATGCTATTTGATCTTTAAATGAAAATGCGTGCTTTGGTTAGATATCACTAAGACCAAGCTTATAGCCATAAAAAACATCAATACATGGTTGAAAATAGAATGATCAAATACTACCTCACATGAGTTCCTTACTGTGTATTTTTGCTTTATACCTTACATTTTTAACCTTACATACTAAAATCTGCACAAACAGAAGGAGAAAGAATAAACAAAGAAATAATTGTGTACTTTCACAATGCAAAAACAAACGTTACATCTATTTGCCAATTAGTTTTCCTGTAGACTTTGGATTGTTTTTCTTTTAATTAGCTCCACTCTTTGTCTATAACCCTCAATGTTAACAAAAATAGGTTGAGTGACTTAAATGTATTAAGGCAGATACTTTTTCTTTCTTTGCTCAAATCTTTTACGACATTTCAGGAACCATTTGATTTTTACTCTAAAATGTGAACTGACAGTTATTCTCCTTTGGGTATTTCAGCAAGGTAATGTTCCAAAATGTAAGACAAAAACAATAACAGTCTCAAGATCTAAATACATAAGGAGACTGGTGAGGTGAGGGGAAATCAAGTTGTTTCCAGGGGATAGGTGAATTGTTATGTTGAGAAATGTTACAGGAAATTTCTGACCAAACAACCTGTCTGTTATTGACTCTGACCTTTTGAGTACTCACTGTGGTTAGCAATCCACTCTCAAGCAAAAAGTACAATTCTTCAGGTCAGTCAGGATAGCAGGAAGCCAAATTATTCTTAACATGTTAACTGATCAGAAATTCACTGACCTAAGCTTTATTTATCTTGCTCAAGGTTATATAGAAATTGAGATTTAACAGCATATTTTTCAGAATCTTCAAAATCCTTAGGTTGGTATTAAAAGGCATTACCTTCTGACAATAACTTGGCATTGACACCATAAACAAGTGTGCGTGACTCGAAAGTTAGCACCCTAACAAATCTCAGTTATGGTTTTGCCAGGCAGAAAAACAACGGGTAAATCAGAAAACATACACGCAACCCTATGATCAGACAGAATACAGAGATAGATGTCTGTCTCTGTCAGCATTGATTAGTCGGCACACAGTTCAATAATTTTTTCTAGCTTTTTCGTTCAACCTGTCTGTTTTTTGTCATCTGTCTCTTTCTCCCTTTTCAACCAGCAATAATCCCTGACATAGATAGACTGTTTGTACTCTCATGAGTGTGGCTATACAGATTTGTTCATCAACATCATCCATTTAATTTAAAGACACTCACATAGCTAACTGTTAAAGACCACCAATATATATATATATATATATATATATATATATATATATATATATATATATATATATATATATATATATATATATATATATATATATATATATATATATATATATATATATATATATACATATATATATATATATATATATATATATATATACATACATACATACATACATACATACATACATACATACATACATACATTATTAATTTATTTATTTATTTATTTATTTCTTCAAGCCATGAATAGGGCTTGAAGGAAACCTTTTTTAGAAGTGGTTATTTCTGCATATTTATTATGGATGCAAATCTTATTGGCTTCATTTCACTCACATGCTTTCTTTCATAATGTACTATTTAGGCTTAGTGGTTGATGACATCTTTGTACCTGGTCAGTTTAACTGATGGATGGAGCTATGCTGTGACATATGCAGAGTGGAGTTTTGATGAGCTACAAAAAAGGAAAAGACTGAAAACACTATTGGAGAAAACTGAATTTGTCAGATCACAGAACTATTTTGTTTCTGCTGAATATCCAGATTCTGAAAAATTGTCTTTATCTGATACTGTTGCTAAGAAATACTGAACTACTCTTTACTTTTACCTACAATGACTACTTGAACTTGATTGTCTGCACTGACTTTGCATGTACAAATATACATATACTGTATGCACTATATACCTTTTTTTGTCATGTTGGAAAGTCTCAGAGCTATGCAGAGTATCTCAGGCTTTGGAAATTCTCTGTTGTACCAATGTTTCATCATTGGGTCAACATCACATTGTACACAGCTTTTTGAGAAGATTGAAAATAAATAAGTGCTGCTGTCTGACATTTTGTTTCCACATTTCTTTCCCTGTGATGACATAACTTGTAGTCCAACGTCTTACTTGAAATGATGAATAATTATTTGACTTTTACATGGAACATCTTCTGTGAAGTATGTGTGCTGATACATTTTGGAGGAGTCTATGCTGCCATATTTGTGTTGATTTTTATATCCCAAATCTTTTTCTTAGGGGGATAAAACAAGTCAGACACATATCAGTGTGCAATCACATTCAATCACAGCTAAGCCCTCAGCCTCTCAAGGGGGGACCTCTTTATTCCTAATCACACTACTGATCTGCTGCTAATGGTTACATGTTTTTTTTAATATTTTTTCAATCTGTTTTTCATATCAGCTCAGTTGATGCTGGTAAAAGAAAGTGAAGCTAATTGTACCCTTTCAATACTATTAGTCTAAGCTTGATTGTTATATATATATATATATATATATATATATATATATATATATATATATATATATATATATATATATATATATATATATATATATATATATATATATAAAGTGTGATATATTCTTTTTTATGTTTTAACTTTGGTGACTGTCTTTTCGCTTTGTAGCAATCTCATTACTATTTGTGTCTCATTTTAGTTCGACAGATGAGCAGTTTCGCTGGAATGCTCAAGGTAAAGTTATCTTTAATTCTTTGTTTTTATCCTTACATTCATGTGTTTGACAACCAACATATTGTGTTGTACATTGTTTCAATGCTCCCCCCTTCAATCATAGAAACGACAGTCTTTCATGAGTATAAAATATGTCCCCCTTTACAGTTTTCGAGTTTTAACCTTTTTCTTACTGGTCAGTGTTTCTAATCATCAAATACACTAAAATTAAATCTGACTTTATTCACAAAGAAAAAAAGCAACCTTAACAACTTGTGACAAAAACAATAATTGACATAACTGATTGTGACCATCCATCCATCCATCCATCCACCCATGCATGCTCCAATATGGTATCACAAACCTAAAAAAATTATGTGCTAGTTGAATAATGGAGAAGCTATTAGTCAGCTTTATATATGTTTTAATATATATCAAAACTATTTATTTTCTGAGAATATATTCAGTTAAGATCAACTATGCGAATTAAGAAACACCTAGAAAAAGTACACTATATTATATTATTTTCCATGTGAAACCCAGATTGTCCATGCTTCTTTGCCTTTTCTTAAAAGTGCTTTAAATCAGTCCTACCTCTCTTTATCCATGCTTTGGTCAGACCCTGGTGTTTGAAAAAGGATGCAGGGAAAGCAGGGTGTTAGCTTCACTACTTGCAGTTAGCCGAGCCTTGTAGCTAAACCAGGTCCTGAAAAAAGATGTCGCCAGTCTTTCGCAGGGCAACCCAGAGACACGCAACCATGCACAAAGACACTCATACCTAAGGACAATTTAGAGAAGCCATTTAACCTTAGTCATGTTTTTTGGCTTGGGGGGGTAGCCAGAGTTCCTGGAGAGAACCCAGGCATGGATAGTGAGAACATGCAAACTCCATGAAGTCAGACCCCCGGGCCGGGAATCAAACCCAGAACCTTCTTGCTACAAGAAGACAATACTACAAACAGCATTTCTTTTAATTCTGCTGTAAATGATTTGCAACTTTGTTTTAATTCTCGCACTTTGGTAGATTTCAGAAATGACATAACATAGCATCAGTTTAGATTTCAGTCTAAACTTTGAGTAGGCAACTCCAAAACCTTCTGTGGTGATTGTTTATGAACAGCCATTAATCTTGAAGATTACCTGTTGGGCAGCAGGTCGTTTCTTGAAATTGGTTTGTTAATTTTGTGCCAGATATAACAGGATGCATAACTTTTCAAAATTTGACTTTTGTCTTTTCAGTCTATAAAACATTGTCTTCTTTCTGCTGAATTATAAGTACTGACCTTAAATAAGCTAAGTGAGGCCTTATTATAATTTTTTTCCCTCTAGGTTCTTTTATGACCTCCTGGAAGTGGTTGATACAGTATATCCTTGAAGTTAGTTTGGTAGGACTGTTTTTTTTTTTCATTTATGAAAAATGGTCCTTAGAGGGGTCCATTGTAATCTTGCAACCTTAGAAATCACTTTTAACGTATTATGTACTTTAAGGCTATGCTCAAACGGTAGGCCTTAATACTCACATCCGATTTTTGCTGATATAAAATTATTTTTGCATGGTTGTTAATAATAATTTGTATATGCTACAACGGTGGTCTCCAACCCTTGTCCTCAAGATCTACTGTCCTACAGATTTTAGATGCATCCCTGCTTCAACACAGCTGAATCAAATGATTGATTACTTTTTAAAGCCATTCATTTGATTCAGCTGTGTTGAAGCAGGGATGCATCTAAAATCTGTAGGACAGTAGATCTTGAGGACCAGGGTTGGAGACCACTGTGCTACAACCAATCGGACTTTAGTTTAAGGGCTGCAGGACTAAAAGCAACCCATGAGTGCCAGAAGGGAATATAGACTTCACTCAGCAGTGCACCATTTACAGAAGTAATAATGGGTTCTGGCCCCTGTATATGAATATAAAGTTGTTGAGTAAATGGAGTTGCCAATATTAAGACAAAACAGAACAGCTATTTAATAGGGTTTACCCCCCCCGACCAAACACATACACCGTTTTGTTGTTTAATGTATTTTCATATCAAAAGTAGAAAAGGGAATTTGTCTCTGCAAGAAAAAATGTAGTACAAAGTGCTATTTATGTCTGTTTTAAAAACATCATCAATGTAAAGATTTCCCATCTTACCCATTTGTCCTGGTTTTGTTCTTCTAGTGTCATTTGTCTGTGTGTCAAGATCTCCATCCCAGATATTGAAGTTACAGTCCAGATCCATTTCTTAGTTGTCAGATTTTCAGAATCACACCATCTCCTAAAAAATATTTTTTTTTACCAGCACCAGTAAGAAAAAAATGACAAAACAAATGACTAAATACAGAATTTCCCAAATATAAAGTGAAAAAATATAGCTAAACCCACTGATGTGATAAGTTTTTATTTTTAAGTCTTTAGTCCAACATTTATTCTGTTTACAATGAGTGATAATATAAAACCAATAGAATCCTGTAGTTTTCATATATATAATTTCCGGGAAACTTTAAAAGAAGACATATTTTAGAAAAAATACACACAGCTCTTATACCATTATGTATTCATTGTTTAAAAACACTCAATCCTAAAAAATGTGTTGATTATGGGCTGGTCAGTTTGGAATGCACAGTTCTGTTATATTAGATTCATTACTCACTCCAAAGGTCTTTCTTTTAGATCTTAAAGTTATAAAAGACTGTATTTGTTTATTATCAGTGGAAGGAAACAATAGTGTCATTAATTGTATGAGGTAAACATTCTCAATGATTTCTGGCTTGTATGGGAATCTGTGTTGTCTTATCCTTGAGTCTGTTAATGGTTTCATCTGCCTTTTGCTTTTAAGTATGTTTGGACCAACAATTTGGTTGCTTCAGGTCCGCTTTGTTATAAAATTATTTCATGGACCTTTTCTTTCAGTGTTGCTTCTCAATTTTATTCATAGCAATAGTTTTTGATTTTGTGTAGTTTTGTGTTGTTTTGCTAATTGTTCATTTTTAGCTTTTTGTAAGTATCCAATTCTTTTTTTTTAGTTTAAGATCTTATGATATTTACTTATGAGTAAAATTGATCTTTTCTTTCAGTCTTTCTTTGACTTTCTTCTTGTTCTTCCCTTCCCAGCAGATGGACAGAAGGACATTGAGGATGAGTTAACCACTGGTTTAGAGTTAGTAGATTCCTGCATTCGCTCTCTACAGGAATCAGGAATTCTTGACAGCGGTGAACGTAAGTAAATTCTTAAGCCTCTTTTTGCATGTGTTTGAGAATGCAGCATTTTAGTTTATGTTTTTTCATTATTCCTAAATTAGCGTATTTATACAGCAGAACACAGGCTTTTAAATAATCCTCAGTTTTTGATTGTTTAGCAGAACCATTATTAATTGTGTGATGAATGAATGATTAAGGGAAGTAATCTCTACCTGCAGTTACTGTTTGGGGAAAAATAATTAAAAAGCATTTAATTAATTCCAGTTTATTTTATTTATGTTTTTTCTTATTCTTTTTATAGTTGCATGCACTGATATTATTATCGCTTCTGTTGTTGTTTTCCTGAAAAATTCAGTCCTATTGTTTAAATAGAAGGCTCAGCCATTGTTTTGATTTTTAATAAAAAGTTTGATTAGAAAAGCATTTCTTTCAAATTTAATATATTTTATCTGTTATTAGGATTGATTTTGTCCTAGGTAAATAAAAACCAAAAAAATTTGAATAAAAGTTGTTTTCTAAGGCTTGTCACAACAGAAACGCTTGGAAAGACAGTAAAAGGTCAAAAAACTCTTAGCCGCCTGAAACTATTTCGGACATGAATATTTAAAGGAAACGTCAAGTGATAATTTTTTAATGTAAGTTAGACAATTAACCCTTTTATCAACAGAGCAGTTAGTGACAAACACAACATGCAGTTTTAGGAGTAATTAGTAATTAGAAAGCGTGTCCAATTTTTCAACTTTGTTTGAATAAGATTAACAAATAAATGGAATATAATAATAACATAATCTAACAAATATTGAAAGGCAGTTCCTGTGCAGTGTAAGGTCCTGCTAAATGTTCTTGGCATTTTGTTTTCAGGTCATTGGTTTTGGAACATGGCATTCCCATTTTACTTATTGTCTGCTGACCTTTTTGATACTGTAGCTGATTTCTCTGTAGCAAATGGCATTTAAAAACATCACTGTATGAAGACTTCCATATAAAGCTAAAAATGCATGGTTTTTCTTATTTCCAGGAGAACCTACTTAAAGAAAAGTATCTATTTTCATCAATATGCTATCATGCATGGCTGTAATCATTATTTCTGCATCCACAAACACTTTTTGTATGACTTAAAATTAGGCATAAATCTTGGAAATATGGTTTTGCAAGATTTACCTAATTTCTTCCAGTTTTGCTGGACAAGCAAAGCCTTGTCTGTTCAAATATTGCTAAACTAGTGGTAGACGTAACAGATTGTTAGAACCCTATTCTGACTAAACTGAAGACACTTATTGTAAGTATTTTTAGTGTGATAGTTTCAAACCTCTTTTTTGTTTTCAGTTTTAGGTCACAAAGGGTGAATTTGGATATAGATTTGGCTTAGCTTCTCCTGAGAGGGTGTGTGTGTCTGTACAGTATGTTTTATGTTTAATGTAAAAGCTAAAACAAATCTCAAAACAGTGAGCAAATGAAGCGTTGACATGTTAATGTCTTCACTGAAAGGCTGCACAGAACAAGGGATCCTTTTACCCTGCCTTGTTGCTTGTAAGGTGTTGATGCAGATTGATACAGCAAATAATTATTCTGCAGAGACACATTATGAAATGTTCTTGTCATAACAATTACTACATCAGCACCAGCCTTTTTATTATGCCATAATACTCTTCTATGTATACAGGGTATGCAAGTTTTCATTACTACATATTATCACCATCTTTTTTGTATATTCTAATAGTCCCATATTTACTGAATACATACAATAAAGAAGCCATTTATTATCTGACTTAAAAAAAGTTTAGTAAACTTTAAGAGAATGTCACATTTCTGCATAGATGCAATTAGAAAATGATGAATAAATGGTAAAATACCTTAAAGCAATGCATTTTTATAGTTGCAACTTAAATTACGACTTAAATTAGGTAAGCAAATTAATTTGGTGGTTAAAAATGAATGTTCTATGAATACCAGAAATCAAGTCTGTTCTTTTGATGCAATGTCTTGAAACTAACAGTCATGCCTTTATTGCTTCCAATTTTGATTATTCCAACACACTACTGGTCATCCCTCTTTCTCCTGCCCACTGTCCAAAATGCTACTCATGAGCCAAAAGGAGTCATGTTAGATCTGCTTTCTCTCCACCACTTCTTTGTAAAAGCTTGTATTTGTCTCTACAATAAATTCCATAATTGTCTTCTTTAATAGTTTGCTATGATCGCCTTTAAGCTGTGGGACAGGATTACAATCAGAATTTCTCCCATCACATTCTTTTATTTGACCAGTTTTCAAAAAAACTAAGGTACACGGTGAAAAAAAAAAGAAAAAGAAACCGCTTCGATGAAAAAAGAAATGTGCTCATAAGTCCAAAGGTTGTGATCCTGCATAACACTGAGTCAAAACGGACGACAGGCAGTTCAGGAAACAATGTGTTTCACTATAAAATCACCAAGTATGAATAAAAAAATTAAGTGGAAAATTATGATAATGCTGGCTTAAATGATGATCCTTTTACCTCATTACTTTTTTATATATCAACTCTAAAGGAAAACACATGTCAGGGAACTTATATGGTTGTCTGACAAAGAGTATCAAATTTCTACATTCAATTCAGTTTATTTATATAGCGCCAGTTCACAACACATTTCATCATAGGCACTTTACAGAAACAATTCGACCAGATCATTCAATCAGATTGGTTCAAAGTTTTCTATCTAAGGAAAACTATTTGATTGCATTGACTCATTGACTCAAAGGAAATCCTTCACACCAAGCATGATTGTAGCGACAGTGGAGAGGATAACTCCCTTTTAACAGGAAAAATCCTCTAGCAAAACCAGGCTCAGTTTGAGCGGCCATCTGATGAGGGCTGACTGGGGTTCAAGGAGATAGAAGCAGAAAGAAGCAGAGATACAAAAGGCAACTGTCAACCAGCTCCACAGGCGGGCAGACGAGCTCCAAGCCAGCTCCCATGTCTGAGGATGAAGAGAGCACATCCAGCCAGTCACAGTCAGAGAAACAGGATTATGCTGAAAAACAGCCCAAGCTCCAACATCTATAAATAAAGGAGTTTATGGCAGCAGCACAGCTAATATTTCTCTCCAGGACGGTGTCCCAGCCAAATGGGAACCGGCCAGATGAAGCTACTATGAGAAAAAGCAGAGATGGCATAAAGTTAGACATTGAACTAACAAATTCTGCAGAATGGGAGAACAGAGATAGAATGAAGCAGAATGATGAAAAACGATGCCTATGTCCTCCAGTAGTCTAGGCCTATAAAAGCATAACTATAGAGATAGCACAGGATAACCTGAGCCAATACAGCTATAATCTTTATCAAAAAGGAATGTTTTAGGCCTACCCTTAAAAGCAGACGGAGTGTGTGCCTCAGGGACTAAAACTGGTAGTTGGTTCCACAGGAGCCTGATAACTGAAAGATCTGCCTCCTATTTTTCTTTATGGAATTCTAGGAACCACTAGTAAACCTGCATATTGAGAGTATAGTGCTCTTTTAGGAACATAAGGAACAATCATATCTCTGATATAAGATAGAGCTTGGCCATTTAAAGCTTTTTATGTGAGAAGGATAAATCTAATTCTACTCTTGATTTAACAGGAAGCCAATGAAGAGAAGCCGTAGTCCGGCCTTGAAGTAACAACTGCATGGACCAGTTTTTCAGCATCACCCCTGGGCAGGATATTTCTATATTTTGCAATATTCTGCAGATGAAAGAAGGAAATATAGAAACCTCTTTGATATGGGATTTAAATGACAGACGCCAATCAAAAATAACACCAAGATTTTTTACTCTATTATTAGAGATCAATTTAATCCCATCCAAAAGAAATGACTGAATAATCACAAGACTCTAGTCTGTTTTGTCTGCATTCAGGAGCATAGAATTAAGAGTCATCCAGGTTTTTATGTCTTCAAGATAGTTTTAACTTTTTCCTCAATTGGAATTATTTTGATTTCAATTAGAATGACTAATTAATGATTCGCTCATTTAGGAGTATTTTCTAATTTATTTCATTTAGTTTGTAGAAACAGTAGTGAAGCTGCAGAGAGTTATGTTAAACTATGATGCTGCTTCCTGGTCTTCAGCCTATCTTTTCTTGTACATAATAACACAGGAAACTTTAAGATTAGGTATTTTTGTAAAAAAAAAAAAAAAAGGAGAGATAAAGGCCATCCATTCACTCAGCATTACTCATTTTGCAATCAACTAATCCAACAAAAGCCTTTGCTGCTAAAAAGTGGGAAGAATGATAGAACATTTTGAGCAATCCAAAATTGTCCAATGGTTATCATGAGTACGATGTCTGCTGTAAGCATTACTACAAATTTGAGATATTTGGCACTCCATAGTTTTAGGGCAGGTTTAGGGCTAAGGCCCAGACTCCCATTATCTGATTTACATTTGTCACCAGCTGGAGAGACACTGTGAAACAGTTTGGTTTTGGACAAGTGCGTCCAATGGATAACTTTGAATTAAATACACTGAAGTCTAGAAGTAATGGAACAGGTTTTAATTTGCGACAGACTTTGATCCCAAAGCTCATTTTAAATATTACGTAATATGTCAGAAGTCCATCCATCCATCCATCAATCCATCCATCCATCCATCCATCCATCCATCCATCCATCCATCCATCCATCCATCCATCCATCCATCCATCCATCCATCCATCCATCCATCCATCCATCCATCCATCCATCCATCCATCCATCTCCAGCAGTCTTTGTGCAAATGACAGGGTACACCCTGTACAGGTTACCAGTCTGTCCAGATGTCAAAAGTCCATGCCTCTTTATTTTAATTAGAAGGTGGTGTCTAACTGCAGAAGATAACTTGACAAAGTGAGGAATTAACTGTTTAGAGGTAGGGAGCTTTTTTATACTGTAAGCACGCAGAAGCTGTACTAATAAGACAGGGCTTCAAAGTGGGAGAAGTGTTTTCTAACAAAATTATGAGCTTGCCAGTATGTTGAAAATAGGTGGCTAGTGGGGAGTCCAACATTTGATTGGAGCTGCATAGAGGAGTAATCAACCTTGCCACTATAAAGGTCCTTCATAAAAGCCATGCCCTTAATTAACCAGTGCTTAAAGACTATATCCATTGTGCCTGCTTTGAAAGCTGAGTTCAGAAAAATGGGAGCATAGATGGAAAAAAGAATTATTATCTGCTTGAGAATCCTGAATTAATTTTTATGCATAGAATTATCCTCAAGTTGTTGGAAAGATAAAGAGAGAATGGAAAACAGGGCAGCAGGAACGTCTTCATTTAGCAGCCAATTAGACAATGAGACCACCTCTTCAAACCTTGGAAGATGCGATCTAAAAAGCCCAGGTTCTAATATTGTACACCCAGTAGTAATGGCAAAAAGCAGAAAGGCCAAGGCCACCCTCAGCAGCGTGTTTATGTCGGTGTGACTTTAGAATTTGCATTTGGTTACCACCCCAGAAAGAATGAATGATCATAGAATCTGTACTCGTAATTTTCTGATTATGTGGGATGCGGCCGTGGGGGGCGACAGTCTCAGCAGAGACTCCAAGATTTCCCTTTCCCTAACTAGTTTAATATAGTCTATTAACTTTAAAATTGAAGGAGTAAGATTAATGGGTATATCTTGAAATAGATATACCTAATTTATTTCATTTACTTTTGGGAGGAACAACAGGAACAACAGTTTTGCTGTTTCCTTGAGACCAAACAAAGAATCAAGGAAAGAGTTTACTCTGGTCCACCATTGTCCAGTAACATGAAGACTTTTGAAGGCAAACTTAATAAAATACTTTGAGGTGATGTGGCGTGAGTCCATTTGTTTTTGCAAACCCATTACTCTATTTGCATAGGAGTTATCTGCGGCTTTGTTTCAATGTTTTTTTTTTGCATTAAATCTATTTCATTTGTATTTTTTTTTTACCTCTCAGTATTTTGAACAGTTCTTTAGTTAGTATTTTTTTGTGGATTATTCTTAAATCTGACATAAATTTAGGTTAGGATAGAATTCTTGAAAACATTCATCCATCCATCGATTTTCTGGCACGCTTAATCCCAAGCGGGGTCACGAGGGATGCTGGTGCCTATCTCCAGCTGTCTAGGGGCAAGAGGCAGGGTACACCCTGTACAGGTCGCCAGTCCATCGCAGTCTTGAAAACATCAATACATTTTTTTTATTTATCTTCGACCAAATTGCTTAATGGTTAGAACAGAAATAGTTAAGACGGTAGAGTTACAGTGGGTACAGAAAGTATTCAGACCCATTTAAATTTTTAACTTTCTTTTTCTTTGCAACCATTTGCTAAAATCAATAAAGTTCATTTTATTTCTCATTAATGTAAACTTAGCAACCCAGCTTGACAGAAAAAACACAAAAATTTTTTTAACATTTTTGCAAATTTATTAAAAAAGAAAAACTGAAAATTCAAATCTTCAATATTACACACAGTAGTTGCATACTGTATATTACATATTAGCTTTTTATTTAAAATCATAACGATAATTCGTTGTAAAATGTCATATATGTAACATTTGTCTCTCTATGAACATCTCCACTTCTTTGTAACTAACAATATAACATACTACTTAAACCAACCTTGCTATCCCTCAATCATTGTGCCAAACAAACTTCACCTTGCAGTTTTGCTAAACATCCATATAGATTATTTTCTGATAACAAAAAATAAACACCCAAGCTGAGTGACGATGAGTTTAGGAGTTTCTTCTCTGACTGCGTAACAAAAAAGTGCCGTATTAATAATTCATAAAAAGCTGGGGGTGATTCATGATGAAAGAAGACAAGCCTAGTGAAGGCGAGAGGCAGAAGAGTTGATCCTGGCTCACAGAGAACAGACGCAGAGAGGGAACACGATCCTGCAGAGAGAGGAAAAGATTAATACAGAGCAAGTAAATATATGACGGAGGGGAAGGAGAATAGTAATATGTATTCCCATATTTTTATTTATTTTTCTTTGATTTGTTATGTGATGAAATACACCATCATCTCACTAAGCTCAAAAAACAACTGTCTATTTTTTATTTTGTCTAATTTATGGCAGTTTGTATAGCCCATTTCGAAAAGTTCCTCTTAATGATGCTTGTTTAGTCAGTAAAAGTAAATCTGTAGCAGAAGCTCAGTTCTTACACTCTTCATTAGATTATGAAGCGTTGGTCAACTTATAAACAATGGATCTGCCAATGTTTATTCTTTGTTTTTTATGTTTTTGCAGTATAATTTTAGTTATAATTGTTATAGTGCACTAAAAATGCACTGATCAAGGTTTTACTTATCTAATCCGATACCTGAGATACATGATCCATGAACCATATATCTTTCCATGAGAATGAAGGCTTTAGCCTTGACATAAACATTTTAAAAAAAGGTAACAAATGAACACAGATATAAATGTACTTTATATTATTAACAAATTGGCAGCAAGGAGAAAGAAACAACAGTTCACTGTAAAGTAAAGTGGATTGGATCTTCAATATCTGATATCAAATCACTGATATCCGATCCAGCTAATAAGTCAATATTGAAGCCGATGTAATTCAGGTATTGTATCGGTGCAGCTCTATCAGCACTGAAGGGAAATTTGATTTAGTCGCCTACTTAATTATCCATTACCTGCAAAATCCTCCTGTAATAGTAAGGGTGGGGGGAAGTTTAATGATTTATTCTTAACTTGCCAGTTTTACACAATGTTAGAGTGGTCTGAAGCAGTATCAGTGGGAAGGTAAATAAGCTGTGTTTAAGTTGTTAGACCTTCCCTCCACCATAACTTTTCTGCTCAGCCCTCTTTTTCCCTTCCACTACATTTCTCCGCTCCTCCTTCTTTTCCTATTCTCTGTGTTCTCCTGTGTTTCTCCCTTCCTCGGCTAATAAATTATGTATGCCATCTCCAACTCACAGAGTGCTGCACTGCTGCACTATCTGCTCTAAATTGCTGCTCTCTCTCTTCCCCATTTCACTCTTTGCCTCTCAATCTCTCCCCTTCACGCCTCCTCTCTTTCTCACTCTTAATCTTTCACTTTCTCTTTCTCGCATACAAACTCAACTCCAAACCCCTCTCCGCCTACCCAACCATGCACCACTCCTGTCTCAATCGGTAGGACCGGCTCTCCTTTCCCAGAGTTCCTTGCAGCTCAACTCCACCCCGGAGGCTTCGCTCCAGTACTCTGCCAGCTACCATAGCAACCAGACCCTCGCCCTTAGCGACAGCATTTCTGCAGCAACTCCTCAGCGTGGCGTGCAGGTTGGAGGAGCCGTGCACAGCTACAACCAGGTAGGTGATACGGCTATGGGAAAAATTTGGGATCAGGATGCAAATGGTGAGATTGATGAGATCCTCAGAGTAGGTTTTGTTTTAACTTGGAAGTTTTTTTTTTAAACTTTTTAGCTTGAACCTGCTGCTGCAACTCATCTAAACTTTTTAGAGTTTATATAGTATAGTTGAGAAATAAGCTGTTTTTCACTTCCTTGTTAATATTTCTATTTTTCATACTGAGCTAACACTGAGACTCCCTGCTCTTACAGCATGTTGATTTGTTTGACATCATAGATATTAAGTCTTTTTTAGGAGGATTTAATTATATCTTTATGCAGGATCTAATTTCATTAAGTTTGCTGAAGTCCACTCACACCAATTGTTCATTCTAAGAGATGCTCTGAATTTTGACACAGTTTTCATGACAGACAAATTCATTAAAGCGGTTCAATGGAAGACCGGTAATTAGAAAGAAATGAGCAAAAATAAATAAATGCACGCTGAGAAATCTCAGCACGTGTCTTGTTTGGAAGAACTTGAGAGCTAAAGCGATACACAAAGTCACATATGAATCACAGCAGTGTGCTGCTAAAGAGAATCCCACCAAATTACTTTCGAGCCTACAGCAGCCAATTATTTCTTATTTTCAAGTCCCTAACATATCAATGGTAAGACCGCTGCTGGAAACACACATACGCACGCACATAAACTTGCACACACCCACGCATCTGCTTAATCAGAGAGCAGCTGCACTGCTTCGTTAAGAAATATTTCCACTGTTGGGAACAAATGTTCCATTTGCCATAGATGATTAGGAAATAAAAGTAATCAAAATATTTCAGATTTGCAATTTTAAAGCGAAGTTTAAGCCTGAGTGAGAAACTAAGGTGCATCTGTTTTGTTAATAGGTTTTACTCATTTACTGATTTTTTTTAACTAGACAAATAAGGGGATGCGCTTTGCAGAGGTGGCTTCAGATTAAGCTTACAGTTGCATGTTTTAATAAGAAATGCAAGAGCAAAAGAGAGAAAGTAAATTATTGGGGGCTAGATGAGGGTAAAAGTTTTTTTTTTTTTTCTTCCTGGAGTGTTCCTGTCCTCCTTTTCCACCTCTCATCTTTCTCCCCCTGTCCTTTCTCCTCACCATCTCTGTCCATGGGAGTGTGTGTGTTTGTGTGCTCTTTTCCTCTGATGTTTGGGCTTGTCAGTGTAATGGGGATACTGCTGTCAGCAGAGTTTTGTTGCTCATGAATAGCTTTATGCATGCCAAAACTAGGAGATGGGAAGCTTTGGCTTGCATGCATGTACTGTACAAGAATCTTGGATGTTTTTGCAGCTTGGTATGAACAAAAAAATGGGGGAGGGGGATGTTTGTTTAAAGTTTGTAAGAGTGGTTATTTTAGGAAGAGAGAAAGAGTTAAAGGAAGGTATGTTATGTTGCTTCACTTCTGCAGAATATTTTTAACCCTAAGTAGTCATGCTTTAATAATACATGATTACATGACACCTCACACATCCCAGTCTTTTGCTGGAAGTTAAAATACAGGATAAGATACTGTGAAAACCCAGTGAGCTAGACCCTCTATCTGTTAGTTACCTTAGCCAACAATTTATTTCTTACTCATTATTTATTTACAGTTCCGTTTATCTATTGATCTATTTATCCATTACTCTAAACGATGCCTTACTTCTTTTTTTTTTTCGTACCCCAGCTATAGTCTGAAAGATTTAAGTACAGCTTTTCTAGGCAAGTAAACTAATCAATCATTGATAGAAACGGAACTGTTTTGCTGGTATAATGTCACCAGCTTCAGCTCTTCACCTTGCCTTTATGACCTATTAGACAATTCTGTAGACTTGAAAAACCTGACTTAAGAGTGCATCTATAGAAAGTGCGTTTTTGCATCTATAAGCGTGCATCATACATCATACTTACCTCTGCTGTAACTTCTTGTTACATTCAATGAATATGAATATGTTCTCTGGGTTAATAAAACAGGTTTAAAAGATTATGATTATGATAAGATTGTTGCTGCTATATTAAAAATAACGCACCCATTCTGTTTCTCTAAAGCTATTAGCTCTATAAAAACATACTGGCTTAGACTCATTGGGAAAATTACCATCTCAGTTTCGAGGTTTTATACATAATCAAGTAAAAACTGATTCCTATAGATTCATTAAATCAGAGTAACAAAAAAAACTGTTAGCTTTACAAACTATTCAGGTTTGTTATTAAGTTGTCTTTACAGACTTATAATCAGAAAAGGCTCACTTTAGACTGCTGACCATACTATTATCCAAAAACAAAGCCATCCCATTGATGTTCTATACATGCAGAAGCCTTCAGAGCAAAACACAGTAGGAAAGTTTCCAGACTGTTTTGATCATACACATCACTTCATGATGATTTATAATAATGGTGTCTGCGTAACCCAAACCCTGTTGCCACATGGCATGTAGCAGAGCTTGCAGCATATTCATGGCATGTGGCCGAGTAGAAAAAAAATCTGTATATTGGTCATCAGCACCAGTCATGCTGCTCTCATGCCAAGACAACTAATGTGTTCCAAGGAAGAGTTATTATACTGCTTTTGCTACTGAAGCTAATGCATGCATCACATTTTATAACTACTCTGGCTGCAGTCATAAGATTGTCACCAGACAGATGCAATGAACAGTTCACACTCTTCACACCAATAAATAACAGACCATACCTGGTCTCCTGAAAGCAAAGATACTTAGAATGTCACAATAAGAACAGAAGGACTCATTTTTCAAAGTAGACAGATTTCTCAAAAACCTTTATTTACAAATGGATCTGCAGTGAACAGCAAGGGTGTCTTAGTCAGGAACCTCTTCAGAAAGAGAACAAATGTGACCACTTCTATCTGGTGGAGCATGATTTTTCAATGTGTGAGTGACTAACTTGGCCTTAAAGTTCAGTTGGAGCCCAGAGGATGAGGTTGGTTCCAGCCAGTCGCCTGCCGACAAGATGCGACAAACGCTTCCCAGAGATTTCACAGACACCGAAGTCCCTTTGGCTGGAGGACAGGCAGGAGATCAGAGCAGACAAAGGAAGGCAGGATAATCCAGATGCCTAAGCCAAAGCCTGTGTTGAGGACGTGCTCAGGGTTCAGAGCCAGAAGATAAGAGGTGCGAAGAGGTACCGACGGGAAATCCAGACCATAGTCAGGAATTGGTTCCAGGTTTGGTACACAGGCAGAAATCCAACAGGAGTCCAAGGACAGATCAGGCGAACAAATCAGAATGGGAACAGTTAGGCTCAGAAGTCCAGAGGCAGAATGGGTCATGACCAGGCAATCAGAAAACACATAGGTACACTAGAAAACTTTCACCACAGACTCGAATAATCTGCCCCTGATGACTGGTTAAGGGCTGGTTAAATAGAGGCTGCAGCAGGTGGATCAGGTGAAGAGTACTGAGAAACTGGACGGCTCTAGGCAGGTGAATGATAGAATAATCAGGCCAGACATGAGCTCTGAGATCATGACAGACTGCTTCCCAGCTGCATCGGATCAGGATCTGGTGTTGTGGCCGGACCAGGAACTGACATAGGTGCAAAGGGAGTGGAATGAGGAGCTGGTCGAGGACTAGTTGATGTCAGAGCCCTGCATAGATTTTTTAAAGTCAAAACGCCACTTTCTGTCTGCCGATGTGTTCATGTATGGCCAGATTATTCTATCACAATCAGAACAGTAAGACCAAGTTTTTGAGGTAGACAGGCAGTTAGATTCTCAAAAACATGTATTAAGAAATTGATCTGCTGTGAACAGTGTGGGCCTCTAAGGCAGGAACCTCTGCAGGAAGAGAACACAGGTGACCACGTCTATCTGGCGGAGGATGATTATGAATGTGTGAGTCACTAACCTGGTCTTAAAGTTCTGTCTGAGGTTGGTTTCAGCCAGCCGGCTGCCAGCAAGATGCAGCTTGCACTGCCCAGAGAGTCCCGGATGCTGAAGTCCTGGAGGTTGGAGGGCAGTCAGGAGATCAGATCAAAGGTAACGAAGGAAGGAAGGAAGGATAATTCAGAGGACAAAGCCAAAGCTGGTGTCGAGGACGTGCTTCAGTCAGCAAAAAATACACATGGCATATTAAACTGTTAAATTATAATGATATGCTTCTATTTAAATTCAGCTTATTGTTAAAAAAAAACAAACAAAAAAAAAAGACGAAAGGCAAAACTTTAAAAATTTGGTGTCCACTAATCAATTAGGATTGATCAGCATTAGATTAACCCATAAGCTCTAAATTGCATCCCTACTAATCTTTTTGTTTTAGATTTCAAGTAAATGCATTATTATATCATCTGTGAACCGATTTAAGTGATGGAGTTTTGATGAATGTAGACATAGCAACCTCTGTGTTTTAATTTCCCTTTATTGGTTTCACCATACTTCTTCTCTTTACCCCACTGTCTGTTAGCTTTTATAAGTTGGATGTCAGATTTTCCACATTAGGATAGTTGTACGACTCAGTTTGAGATTAATCGGTTGTTAATATTCCGTTTCAAAATGAGAAAAACAAGGCTGGCATCCCCTGTTTTCTTTTTACAAGAGATACTTTAGAGCTTATTGTAAAGCAAAGAGTAAAACCAGCCGCTGGAGATGTAATGGAGACTCATCGTGCCACTTTATGCTGCTATATTTACCTCTGAAAGATTTGCTGAGTAGGCAAGTTTTCTCTTTCTCTTTTTTGTTTTGTCCTCCAAGGTATGGCTACACAGTCAGGCAGCTGCAAAAATGTTTACAAACATAAACCCTTAAACAAAACCCCTGCATGTATGTGTGTGTGTGTGTGTGTTATGGCACAGCCAGCAGATTAGGAGACCTAATTAAATATTATGAATGAGTTTTCCATTTATTAGTTTTTTTTTTCCTTGGTCACTCTCCCAAGCATAGTGTGAGCTGGTAGACAATATTATATGTGATCTGATCGTTTGCAGTGTTCAGTGGTGATCATGTGCAGAGTTTGTTTTCACCTGATTGCTGTGAAGCCTTATATACAGTTGTGGTCAAAAGTGTACATACACTTGTAAAAAATCATAATGTTATGGCTGTCTTGAGTCTTCAATAAGTTCTACAACTCTTATTTTTCTGTGATAGAGTGATCGGAACACATACATGTTTGTCACAAAAAACAGTCATAAAATTTGGTTCTTTCATAAATTTATTATGGGTCTGCTGAAAATGTCACCAAATCTGCTGGGTCAAAAATATACATACAGCAACATTAGTATTTGGTTACATGTCCCTTGGCCATTTTCACGGCAACTAGGCGCTTTTGGTAGCCATCCACAAGGTCGTGGCAAGCTTCAGGTCGAATGTTTGACCACTCTTCTTGACAGAATTGGTGCAGTTCAGCTAAATGTGATGGTTTTCTTGCATGAACCTGTTTCTTTAGCACTGTCCACATGTTCTCAATGGGGTTTAAGTCAGGACTTTGGGAAGGCCATTCTAAAACCTTAATTCTAGCCTGGTTTAGCCATTCCTTTACCACTTTTGATGTGTGTTTTGGGTCATTGTCTTGTTGGAACACCCAACTGTGCCCAAGACCCAACCTTCGGGCTGATGGTTTTAAGTTTTCCTGCAGAATTTGGAGGTAATCCTCCTTCTTCATTATCCCATTTACTTTCTGCAAAGAACCAGTTCCACTGGCAGCAAAACATCCCCAGAGCATAATACTACCACCACCATGCTTGACAGTAGGCATGGTGTTCCTGGGATTAAAGGCCTCACCTTTTCTCCTCCAAACATATTGCTGGGTGTTGTGGCCAAACAGCTCAATTTTTGTTTCGTCTGACCAGAGAACTTTCCTCCAGAAGGTTTTATCTTTGTCCATGTGATCAGCAGCAAACTTCAGCCGAGTCTTAAGGTGCCTTTTCTGGAGCAAGGGCTTCTTTCTTGCACGGCAGCCTCTCAGTCCATGCCGATGTAAAACACGCTTGACTGTGGAGACTGACACCTGTGTTCCATCAGCTTCCAAATCCTTGCAGACCTGCTTCTTGGTGATTCTTGGTTGACTCTTGACCATCCTGACCAATCTCCTCTCGGCAGCATGTGATAGCTTGCGTTTTCTTCCTGATCGTGGCAGTGACACAACTGTTCCATGCACTTTATACTTGCGTATAATTGTCTGCACAGTTGCTCTTGGGACCTGTAGCTGCTTTGAAATGGCTCCAAGTGACTTCCCTGACTTGTTCAAGTCAATAATTCGCTTTTTCAGATCCATACTGAGTTCCTTTGACCTTCCCATTGTAGCTTTTGTAGCTGAGTCTAATCACTGGGTCAAATGAGCCCTATTTAAATGGGCTCATGAGAAGTCAACAGCTGTAGTCAATCAGAATCACTTAGAAGAAGTGAAGAGGCCATGACATGAAGCTAATTTGATTGACACAACTCGCTACATCACCAAAGTTGACAAATTTTGTTGCTGTATGTATATTTTTGACCCAGCAGATTTGGTGACATTTTCAGCAGACCCATAATAAATTTATGAAAGAACCAAATTTTATGACTGTTTTTTGTGACAAACATGTATTTGTTCCGATCACTCTATCACAGAAAAATAAGAGTTGTAGAACTTATTGAAGACTCAAGACAGCCATAACATTATGATTTTTTACAAGTGTATGTACACTTTTGACCACAACTGTAAGTGTGCGACTTTCTTGTTCTTGTTATGCGGGTTTGTCCGCCATCCACCAATGTCAGAGTATAAATATTATATTGTCCACCTTAAGCCATCAGTGTTGTAGAAAGAGGGGGAAATTATTTTTTTGTTGTTTAATAAAGAACATATATTATTTTTGTACGACCAAGTTTGTTTCATCTTTACTCGGGTTGTAACAGATGGATGGATGGATGGATAGATGGATAGATAGATAGATAGATAGATAGATAGATAGATAGATAGATAGATAGATAGATAGATAGATAGATAGATAGATAGATAGATAGATAGATAGATAGATAGATAGATAGATGTTGTAGTATTTATAACAACCCAAACACACAGGATTTCAGAATTAAACATCCCCAGTTATTAATTTCATACACTCACCAGATCTTAACGCCCTGTTAAAAAACTTCAAACCCATGAATAGAGGTAATGCAGCCTGATGATATTTACACTGCATCAGATACTGTCCCCCTCTTGTTAAGAAGAGTTAAGCGTTCCCCCTGCTTAACATGGGGGAACAGTATCTGACGGGGTTTAGAAGCCCATAACTAGTTACTTTTATTGTGGAGTAACTCAGTTAGTAACTCAGTTACTTTTTGGGAGAAGTAACTAGTAACTGTAACTAATTACTTTTTCAAAGTAACGTGCCCAACACTGCTGGTTGCTGAAAATCTGAAAAATACTCATTGTATCCTTCTTGCTGATTTTAATATTGATGTCTCAGAGGATATCAATAGTAGAGAGTCTAAATGTAGAGGTGAAGATTTATGTACATAATTAAGAAACATCACAGAAAATGCTCTGATGGATTCTCATTCTTTCTCAAGTTCATAACACTGAAGGCTTTTGGTTGAGTCCTGAAACTGGTTAACGGACCTGGGTGGTGCACAGAGGGGAAAATGTGTGAACTACAACAAGGTTATTTTATTAAATTGTCTTGAAAATGATCAGTTTTGTTCATTTCTGCTGTATTCACCCATCCTGGAGTGTGTACTGTATGTCGCTCCTTCCTATCTCAGTGGGGACTTGTGTCGTTCTGCACCAGCTAACAGTGGACCCCTGTTGTTCTGCACAAACCAAGTGGGGACCTTTATGCTGTAATGCAAATCAAGGTCCCCTCTTTGTCTGCTAAGAACGACATGGCAGCACCACTTTGAATAGTTAAAAACAGAAGAGCAACTTACCGCATTAAGAGATAAAAATTTATATGAAAAATATATATTTGTTGCTGATACTGCAGATCCTGTTATTAATTTATTCCCAAATTAAATGCTATTCAAAATATTATTAATTATCAAATGTGGCCAAATTTCACTTTTTGGGTAATATTTGTATTGAAAGCAATTCACTCAAGGTAAACCATCAATTTCTTAAAAGAGTTAAAGTAATTCCTTGTAGTAAGCAAATACTCTTTAGGTTAAAAAAAAAAACCTAACCCTTTAAAAATGATTAAAAGTCAAATCTTCAGTCATATTATGGTAATTGAGCTTTAAAGTACATTTTATTTGGGTTTTTGCTTTTTCAATAAACTAGAAACAAAAGTCCCCTCTTGACAGGAAAGGCTGACAGTCCCCTGTTTGTAAGGTGGACGTAAATGTGTGTGCTTATGTGTGTCTACATGCACATGTATAATTAGGTGTCTGATTATTCAGATGCTATCGTGTCGCTTATGGAGGGTCTAAATGTGGGTTTTTGTTTCAGTATTATGTAATATAACAACCACACTATTTTATGATGTAATAACACACTATTATTGTATAGACTGTCTAGAAACTGGATTTCGATCAATGAGGAAATGTTTGAAAATGATTAACATTTTTACACTTGTACATATTTGATGTAGGATTTTTGTCTACCTGTATCAACCTGTATTATTGTATATTTTAATTGATTTGTTCTTAACACCTATATAAACGTGTTCATTTGTTGTGTATTTGCATAGTAAACCCTTGCGCACATGCAGGAGTAAGCAGTTCAAAAGTCAAAACTGTAGGCGGGTTAGAATAAACTTTTTTTTTTTTTTTTACTTTTTTTTTTAGATATGGATCAAATGGAAAATATGCTGATGATTTATAGGATTCCCATGAACCAACTTGCTACAGATAAACATGTGGCTAAATAAGAAATCTGAAGTATTTTATAGAAAAAAAAAATTCTATTATTATATTATGTTCAGAACATACTGTATATCTTATAAGAGATGTTTTCAGTTTCATGTTTATCCATGGTTTTCTTTGTTTTCTAGCTTTATTGGTGTGTTCAAGAAGATATGACCATAAGCCAAAAATTAAATAAATCCAGAACACACAAATAAAGCTAGAAAACAAAGCAAAACTGAAAACCTTAGAGAAAACCAACAGAACCAAGATCGTTACAATATAACCTCTAAAGTCCTGAGTTTGTCACTGAGAATTTGTTTCAGCGAGGCTTTAAGAGAAATCAATTATTTTATTTCATCTTGACAGACTTTAAGTTTTTCCAAAACTCTCTTTCAGATCATCTCTATTGGTTTTCTTTTAGTATTTTTTTACCCTTCAAAAGATTGAATGATCTTACTGTACAGCGTTTATCATTACTCTAGACTATACAAATACTGTTTGAACTCCTGTTTGTTTCTTCTTCAATTTCAAATGTCTCCCCCACCAGTTATCCATCCTACTGACTCCTTTCTCTTTGTTATGTCTGTTCTTGTCTAACTTGCTCTGTGCTTCCTTTTATCTCCCCAGGTGACATCTAGTCGTGCAGCCCAGCAACAACAATCGCAAACTGGGGCAGGATCAGGTAGGCATTCATGTCTTTTTTTTCACCCTTATTAGTTTTCCTTCTTTGAAATAGCTGTTTCTCATGATGCATTCATAACATTCATTAGCTTTTCACTACTGATACTTAGGGAGGAGATTTTCCCTCTTCTTAGTTTTTGTTATAAATAAAGGCTCTCTTTCCCCTTTTTTTGGTTTTAGCTGCTGAGTTATTCCTTTTGTTTTGTTAACTGCTTTTGATCTTCATACTTCTTACATTTTATGAACAGCACTTTGGTCAGCGGTTATGTCGATTTTTCACAGGGCTTTAGAAATGAAGTGGTATGGTGCTGTAACTGCTTTTTATCTTTTGTCTGACTTTTATCTGCTATTTATGCCAGTGGAAAGTGGCTCTCTGCTTTAAAGTACAAGCATCAGCCCCATCATCATCTCACCTGTTTCCTCTGTGTCTCTTTTTTCTATAAAAATAAATTCCCCTTATTATTCTTTAGGGATCTACTACTCAAGCTCTACTTTACCTGCACAGCGAGTCAGTTCCCCCCTGTCCGGTGGAGGAAGTTCAGGGTCAGGTTCTCCCAGTAAACACCAACGGTTGGGCTCTGCCACTGACACACCAGGCTACTCCACTACCCAGCGCCTGCCTTCCTCCTCCCCCTCATCTTCTCCCAGCAAACAGTCTACAGCTAATAGACTGGCCAAATCATACAGGTACGTAGCCCACCACATACACTGGGTGTCGGTATGAATACTAAAGAGAAAAGTAGCTGACACATTTGAATAATCCAAGTAAATTCAGTTTTTGCAGTTTAAATTTTTTGGTTGTTGTCCAGTACTACAGTTGCAGTTACAACAGCAGGAGGTGGGTCACCACTGAGGGTGGCATCTCCGCCTAACTCTACAGCAACTGGAGGAGGAAACAGTTCATCATCGTCTCCTCTTCATCAGGTACTGCATTTTATCCTCTTATGGAGTCAAATGCATCCGTATGGGTTTGGGGTAACTCTTTTGAAAGGTGGCAGAAGGATTTTGAAAGCCAATCTACAGATTTATTAACATTTATGGTGGATTAAAGGATTAACGATTTAAATATTTAGCTAATATGGTCATTTTCTTTACCTTGCCATTATTTAAGGAGCAAATCAATGTGGGAAACTGAGACAAGTGATGTCTTCATGCAGAAAGGTTGCTGAGGTATTAAAATATTATCTATATGCACTTTAATGTTCAGATTTTGTGGATAAAAAAACAAAAAAAAAAAAAATACCAAACAAACATATTTTTTTTACAAGAATGAGCACATTGATTGGTAATAAAGCATATGACACAATAAAATATGAAGCACTGATTCAACGTCTACAGCTGTTGGGCCATCACAGGCTTTACTTTATCTGCTAATTATTATAATTATGCTCCAGTAGTGTTTAAATTATGAACAAAATTCTTAAAGAAAATGTAACTTTTTAAAAGATTTATGTAAAGTTGCCATTTAAATTTTTTATTAAAATATTAAGCCAAATTATAAAAACTTATGTTCTTTTTTTTTTTTTTTCTTTTTTTTTGAGGGGGTGGGGTGGTGTGGGTTCAGGATTGACCACTACTGGAGAGGACCTATTTATTTTTACTCTGTAGCATATTTTAGCTTATTTAGCTTATTTCTTCTTCTTCACAGAGAACTGAGGCCCACATTAATGTTTTGGACTTTGGTTACATTTATTACATTATTAAAAGCATCTCATTTACATTTGGAAACCAACCTTAACAAACTTATCTGAAAGCAATGAAATGAGATGGAACAGATGTTATTAATAATACTCAGCTGTTGCTGAGTAATTACTCAGCCAGAAGCTAGATATAAGCATCATGCTGTTCTTCCTAATAGCATTGCATAACAAAATAATACAAAGCAGGTAAAACTGTCTTGTCTTTGCAGATGAGTTCTGGCATAGGAAGCTATGCCACTCTGTCTCCTAAGCGGCTGGCAGCTCATCACGCTTCTGACCAATACAAGATCTCACACGAGCTCTACGCTACTGCTACCCTACAAAGACCTGGCAGTTTGGCAGGTGAGAGATCTCTTATTTATTCAGCTGAAAAAAAATCTCTTTTGAGTCGTTAATATTTACAAAACTGTTCGCTTTGGGCACACCTCTGAATTATGCCCATCCATCCTTCTTCTACTTTTTTGTCAGGTTTATAGAGGGCTGGTTTCTATCCCCAGCCGTGTATGGGCAAAAGTCAGAATATATCCTGGTCATTGCAGAGACATACAACCAAGCACAAATATATTCACACCTTAGGACAATTTAGAGATACCAATTAACCTTCAGTGGTGTTTTTTGGACTCTGAGATGATGCCAGAGTACCCAGAGAGAATCCATGCATGCTCAGAGTGTCATGATTGGTTTAATGAACAAAAACCCACATGCAGAACACTAACGGAGACAGAGGAAAGTTTAACAATGTTTATTTGGGAAACACACACAGAGTTAATCAGGAACTGGTTCTGGTGCAGGTCCGGGACTGGTTACTCTTATATCTGGAGAGATGAGAGTTTGGTTAGCCAGGTGGTTATGGCTTGACGAGTGAGTTGAATTCTGATCGTACCTTGAAGAGGTTCTAACAGATCCTTTGAGAGGGGGAACCGGTTGGGTCCAGAGACTGTGGAAGTAGCAGAGAGCTCAGCAGCAACAGCGTCTAGCTTCTAGCCAGAGAGTTTTCGGACTTGGGTTTGTTTCCTAGCTCTTCCCAGAGAACTGACGGACGAATCCAGACTGAGATCTTCAGGTTTGGCTTACGTGGGCAAGCAGGCAGATTTCCAGGTTATGCTCATCCAGAGCTCCAGACTTCAGTCGGGGTTCTGCGAGCAAGAAGACAAGAACAAGTTAGAAGGCTAGTTTCTCTCAAGAGGCAACTAGTATTCACTAGGATTTCAGAGGCTCAGGTTCGCTAACCAAACTAGGTCAACACTGCGGCGTCGAAGGAAGGTCTGACTGCTGCTTATGTAGGGAGGTCTTCTGATGAGCTGATGATCCCCAGGTGTGCTGAGGACTCCAGCTCAGGAAGCCCACAGCGCTCTCTGCTGGAGACAGGTGGCAGATCTCCAGATCCCGACACAGAGAAAACATGCAAACTCCATGCAAGCAGGAGATTAAACCCAGGACCTTCTTGCTAAAAGGCAACAGTGTTACAAAGTCATGATACACATTACATAAAAAAATAGATTTGCTTTTAACATCTTCACCTGTTGAAATAGTTGAAATGTTCTCTCGAATGAGGGCTCGTTTTATTTTTTTCTTACCTTTTAAAATGTATTGTTAAGTAACGGTAAAGATGTCAATGTTCTGTTAATTTCCTTCTGAATTTTGGAAACCATAGTTTTATGTTTGTTCTGACCTTTGAGGTTCTAGTTGATGCCTCACTTTAAAATTGCCCACTTTTACATAGTTTAGCTCTATGAATTAAACTATTATTTATATTTTGTTTAGGGATTTGAACTAATACATGAACCAATGGAGGGTTGTGAAGTGCAGACTTTTGAGTTCAAAAACAATTTAAGTTTTGTCCTAACTTAAAGAGTAAAGGAAAATAAAGCATCAACTAATTAAAATTTAACAAGAGATTTAATTTTGTCTATGCATTAAGTTAAATGTCGAACAGATCTAAGTTTCTGTGTGTGTAAAATTACTATAATTCTCTTTGTCTGCGAGCCGTCAAAAGATCCGTGGATTGGTGTGGAAAGTTTTTGAGATAACTGAGTCAAAGTCAGGGTGCCTCTGATTTAAGTCTGATTTTGTGAAAGAACAATAATTTCACGCTTTTGACATGTTTTAATAATCTAATATAGATAACTTTTAAAACTGTAGAGCCTGGTAATTACCTGATGGTTTCTGGGTTAAAACTGTAGAGTGTACTGAGACTTGTCTTTCCTATTACTGCAGGTGTGCCTTATTATATCATTTTATTTATTATTTGAGCAATTTAAACTTTCACATCTTCAGTAGTCAGCAAAACACACTGTAACTGCCACCTTTTAAAAGCGAGCCAGAGACTTGAAAACAACTATATTAAATTAAGTAAAAAAAAACAACAACCTATTAAAATACATTTTTAAAAAGGTGTTTTGTCTTTGAGCCCTTCCTCCAACTTGCTCCACTTTTTCATTCAAAATGTGTTATAACTGTTTTTAGAGCAAACAGTTTGTCTTGCCTATTTTACAATCGTCTTTATTAGCCGTCATAGATCTGAACATGTCTTTGGATTGAAGCAGGAATTCAGCTATGTTTATGTTGTCTGATATGCCATATAAAATGCATTTCACTTAACATTCTGCTACACAGGTTGCTGTGTAAATCGTTAAATATGTCACTGTTGTGGTTCAACGCACACACAGCACACAGCTGGTAAGCCGTGTGAGAGATTCATTACTCGCCAGCAAATGCAGTAAAGTGTCTCACGGAATTATATGTGCCATGGACCACATAATTGTATCTTGACATCATCAAGCTATGATAGTATTTTTTATATTGGAAACTTTTCACTAATATATATATTTACAGCAGGTATTTTGCTCCAGTTTTCTGGAATTACACCAGCTATGTGTAGAATGCAGCTAAGGGTACATTGGCTGTTATATTTAATCAGTCTTAAATTGTAATGCAGTATAAGTTCTGTTTTTATCACATTTTTTTATTCACATGTTTCTAGTTTTTTTAAGACTTTCAGAATTGGAGCTGTTCAGCATTGGAACAAAGCAAAATAAACGATATATAGGGAGATATTTTTAAAAATACCAATCCGTTTGATGAATACTTTTTGCCTGATAATCAATTCATTTTAATGATGCTGTGTGAGTTAAAACATTTTTAGCCATACTGTAAACACACAATAGTAAGGCTTCAAAGGACAATATTTGGTTTTTACACAGGATCTCTTTCTGTTATTTCACCGAGTGAAACATTTTGAAACGGAATATTTATCTTTTGAAATAGTCTTTCCTTTCAAAAAAAGAGGTCAGTAGTTATACAAGTGGGCCCTTGTGAGGCACAAAATAAATGAACAGCGAAATAAAGCAAGATGAAAAGCATGTGTGGAAGGCAAAGAACTGCGATGAGTCATGGTATTGAGGGGTGTGTCTATGACACTAATCCCTGCTTCTTCATAAATATTCTCAGTATCTCAGCTTTATTCAAACTTTTTTCTTTCTTTCTTTAAATGTTTTTTATTTCTTCAGTCTTTGAAGTTAGCGTGTCTCTTTACTCTTATACTGAAACTCTTATTATTCCTTTTATTCTGTGGGTTAGTAACTATGCCCAGTGAAGTTGCTGAGTTTCCTATGGGGTTTTTCAGAATAATTACTGAAACTGAGCAAGTCATTGAAAGAATAATTTGGATATTAAGAGATATGCTGTGTTTCTCCATAAAAGGCTTAGCATCTAATGTTGCCAGGCTTGTATTTGTATATATTTTAGGCTTGTTTTTTCACTTTACCATGACTACTGTTCAAAAAGGTAAATCCTTACTTTTTCTTTGTGGATTTTTTGTAGCCTCTGCATTTGAGCTATAATAACAGCAGCGTAACAGTAACTTCTAAGATGATAAAGTGCCTCACATACTTTAATTTCTGATAAGATTTGTCAGCTTGTGTGAATTTCTCTACACGGAGGCCTGAATCACCATCCCATCCTCCTCTGGAAAATCCTTGACACAATTTGCAGTCCTCTGAGAACTAATATGATATGATAAGACATTAGTTCCACTGGACCGTTTCTTCCTCTGTCACTCAGAGCTTTTTGTACGTGTGTGTTTGTGTGATCTCATTTTGATCTCCTGCCATGTCAGCTCAGCCCTTCTGACTTGCCTTTGTATTCCCTGAGTGTGCCTCTTTTCAATCGTTTTCTAATTTTATTTATTTATTTGCTTTGTTTTGTTTTCAGAGGCAGCCCACTGTCTTACATTTATTCTGCAGTGTTGTGAACAAATGCCCGTTGTCAATTTTCTCCTTGCCCTGTGTCTGTGGGATTCCTGCCAAACACAGCAAGCGAGGGGACATTGCATCTCATTATTTTCCAGCTGACAAAAAAGCAACGTGTGCTATGAAGATTATAAAAATGAAAAACATACACATCATTCCCTTGCTCTCTTTCTCTCTCAATCTCTGTTTCTTTTTCCCCATTCTTGCATGTTTCTGTTTTTGTGTGTTAATGATTTAGCGCAGTCCTCACTCTCACATTTTCCTGTAAATCACGCAAACTTAACCATTGACAGTAAAGCTCACTCCTTAGCTTTTCACATCAGTTTCTGTAACAAAGTTTACACATACATTTTTTACGTTTTATTTTATCATGAGTTAATAAAAACGTTATTCTTTCTTTTGCACAGGTTCCCGTGGCTCCTACAGTAGTCAACACAGTCAAGAAACCGTTCGGCCCTTAGGGTCTCCAGAGCACCACATAGATCCTATCTATGAGGAACGTTTATACCACAACAAGGGCCCTATGAGGAGCCTGAGTCAGAGCCAGGGACCAGACACAGGCCCCTACCGCAACAACACTGGTAAAAAAAAACAAGCATAATTCATATCCAGTATTTACTGTAGCAGATAGCTATATTTTTTCAATGTTATTTATTTTATCTTAGTAAATGAGTTTTACCGCCTACATGTTTTTATTCCCATTGTTTTGTTTTGTTTTTGCTAAATCATACATAAGCATCTTAGATCAGTCAAGGAATAGAAAATTAGTCATAATGACTAAAGATAGACCGAGAAGATATGTGTAAAAACAATTATGGTGCTAACATTAACTTTCAAAAGCAGACCTACGGTATTTCAGCTGTGTATATTATTAGATTTATTTCAATTAATTCTGGTTGTTCATATTCCTGCTTTTCCTGTTGTGTTAAAATTATTTTCTTGTTTGTTTTGTAATTATTTTACACACAGGTTTTATTTTTGTAACAATTTGTATTCGTCGTTTTCTTGTACTCTTCATAGCTGTTAGTTATTTAAGAAAAAAGGGATTTAATAGGATTGAGATTTCAATAGATTTCCGACATTCTATTTTAGAATGTCTAAATCCTGATTCCATGGAAAAAGTAATGATCATTATTTACCAAGAAACAATATGCTGAAGGACTGATCCCCATATGACGCCCAATGCCACTAGCCTCTCATACAAACAGCTCCTATGTTGCAAAGGAAAAGCATTTCAAGGTCATTGTATGATGTCAATCAACAGGGGGCTCCTAATTTATACGTCCACATAGATGAGCAGTTTTACATCAGAAGGGTATGATGTAAAGTCCTCACAAGTGTGTCTTTTTTCTGGATGAAATAATTAAATCGTGAATTCTGATACAGCCCTACACACTTCTTGTGGCAAATGTAAGGAGTTTGATCTCAAAGTTGAAATGTTTGCATTCGTTCATGATACAGTATGGACTTCAATATAAATTTGTCTTCAGAGATTTTGTATCTGAATTATTATTCAGAGAAAATCAACAGTGTTTTGTTTTCTCTGCTCACAGTAACAGCCTGATTCTTTAATTTTATATTGAAGGGGCATTAGGGCTGACTGAAACTCAGAACTTAAGTCATTCTGTGAGTAATAAAGTGCTGTCAAAATCCAGTTTTAGTGATTTAAGTCTTTTTCTTATACCTGAATAAAAGCTGAAACCTAATTGGCACTTTCTCTGCATACTGGCAACAAAAGAATAGCTTCTAAAGTGTGGTTGAGCTCTTTTAAGAACCTTTTCAATGATTAACAAATAACTGAAACCTTGAATCTGCAAACCTTTGTTTAGGTATGTGATTTCAGATTGGATGTTTCTGACAGTCAGAAACAGCCTTTTACTTGCAGTCTTGGCATTGAGAAGTTTGTACCAGGAATGTGGTGTTGAATAAAAGAAACCCAACTTGCTTCCCTTAGCAATTCAAAAGTTTTTTGAAGTACTTTTTCTGGGTTTGGCAGAAATATCTCAGGGACAAACATGTATACCTGGAAAAGAAAGATATTTTTTTTGGTAGAGGCTGGACATGTAAATGACCAATCATCAAGCTGCCTATAATAGACCGTTTTTTTATATGTGTGTAGACCAGTTAGCCTTCTCTTGAAATTCCTCCAGCTTGTCAGAAATAAGTGTGTTGAAGGCCTCATCAGATCAAATATGTCTCATGGAAACATCTCAGACTAAAGATCATATTCAGATTTGGTCCGATCTGAAATTTTTCTTAATTTCGATTGAGAGAAATGTTTTTTTCAACATTTTTTTTCACGCATTCCCATTCCCATTGGATTCAATATACATGTCTACTTGGTTCTTTTGAGTAAAATAATCTCCTCTGCACATGTGTACAACATCGGCATGATGGTTTTCTCTTTACTGACCTTCATTCACTGGCTCCTGGTTTTGCGGAGGATGAACATGCTATCTTGCCCTCTACCCCTGTAGAGGGCTACTAAAATGACCACTTAAAACAAAAGTCTGGAACTACATTAAGATACATGACTGAAGAAATAAAGAAAAATAAATGTAAGGGGCACACAGAATAGCTAAAGTTGTTTACAAAACAGGCAGTTTCTTCCCCTACTACTGAAGCGTTTCTGGAAAACTATGCTCAAATGATTCAATCTGATCCGAATCTTGATACATGTGTACAGGCGTTGTGATTGGATCATTTCATTTAGTTTCCATGTAAACAGAGATTTTGAACCTCTGATCAACCAAGATGTAGATTGGATCAGATAAATTGTACGCATATAAATGTAGCTGGTCTGTTTTTGAAGTACTTCTTTGTATATTAAGGGTGTATACTCTTAACATGGAGTATACATGTTTCTGATATATGGCATTTTTTGATGTATGCATGCATGTATGGGTGTATGGATATGTGTATGTGTGTATTTATGTATGTATCAATGTATGTATGGGGAGATGGTTAGTGCATAGAGCTTGGAATCCTGAGGTTCTGAGTTTGAGCCCCACAGGTTGTCACTGAGGCTCCTTGAGCCAGACCCTTAACCCCAGACTGCTCCTCTAGTGCTGCACAGTGGTTGGCAGCCTTAAAAAAAATTAAATAAACTATATGGTGATTGACAGTGTAGTGGTTGGGGCATTGCGCTTGGAATCCAGAGGTTCTGAGATCAAGCCCACAGACCCTTAACCCCACACTGCTGACCGGGAGAGTTCATTACATTGCTCTGTACTTGTGACAGTGTAATGACAATAAAACACTGGGGGAATAAAATGTATGTATGTATTTATGTATGTATGAATGGAAGGATGGATGGACGGACGGACGGACGGACGGACGGATGGATGGATGGATGGTTTTTGTCACCAGGGTGTCTGCTGCAAACCTGGCTCTAGCAGGTTATCTTGGTCTGGACCTCTTTCTGTGATCTACCATTTAATGTCGATGGAATTAGTCAACTTGCCATCAGAGATTAGAAGGAGCAAAATTGCAAACATATCCTTCAGAATCATACTAAAAATCCTCTATCCCACATTCCTACAAACTGCACCCAATAGTACACTTAAGAAAGGACATAATAAAAAAAAAAAAGAAAGGAGCCATATAGAAAGATACTCATAAATACACATTTTATGGATAAATCTTTTATTTGTTATAAAACACAGTAGGATACATTTCCTTTCAAATCAACTGTCATTTTACAGCTCCCTCTAAAGCGTCATTGTTCCCTGCAATGTATTTTTAATAGGCCCTGAATGAGCTTATCTCTATGTGGGTTTAGGTACGCCATGTTAATCCCATTACGCTCTTAAAGCAATATAGAAATACCCAGGTTTGTCATGCCCATTCACATCTTCTTCTGTATCATTAACCAGATTAGACTAAATAGCTATCATTAGCATTTGGGTCAGAAATACAACAGTAATATATGGTTTATAAAGGTTGCCAATCTTTGTCTCAGTAAATATTTGTGGTTTACTTTGAGCCCAGATTCTTTTTTCTGAAGCACATTTAGGGACAAAAAAAGGACTGTAATGTCACAGTATTGTTTGCAAAGGATGTTTCAATAAATACATTGGATTAAAAAAAAAATGCAAGGAGAATAAAGTGTTTTCTATAATTTACTTTGACCTTTATTAATAAGAAAGTAAGAAATCTCAAATAGAACATTTGTACTGCAAACTATAATTAGCTATTTAGGTACCTACAACCTTTAACTTTTTAAAGCAACTCAATTATAATAAAGACACAGATACATAAACAGGTTTTCACAAATGTGTATACTTTAATTAAACTGACCCGCAGCCTGTGGCTTTTTTAAACTTTATCTATGATATTCCTGTATTTTTTGTCAATTTATATTCATTGGTAGACCAGTAAACCAAATATATAACAGCACACTTAGTCACTGTGCCAGTGTATTAAGAGGTGGTTTTAATGCATGTTTTAAAGTCATATGCACAACGTGTGCAATGAAAAGAGTTTGTCTAATAGGGATTCATAATGCTCTGAGTGATGGCTCATAATGAACTGATAAGGGTTGTGCTGACATAGTGAGCGGTAAGTCATTAATTATGTCACAGTGCCTTTTCTTGGCAATGGCAAGCTCACATTATTGGTTCATTAAGCTGGCATGGATCAATGTAATTAATACTATAAGTCATTCTTTTGCCGTGGAGGGAAGAGAGACATTTCTCTGGGTGTTAGGTATCAAAAATGACCAAATTGTAATCAGGAGGCCTACATTTCTTGATGATCTTAAAGGCAATTCCAGCAAAAACAGTAATTTCTGCTCACTTTTTAAAGATTGTGAGGAACAGAAAAAACTAATAAAAAACATTGTAACAACACGCTTTTACCTCCTATTCTTTTCTAGATGATATATAGCAGCCTTTCAAAATGGTCCTTGCCAGTCAAAAGCCAGCCGAATGATAGCAAAATCCCCTCCAACTTCCAGCCACTGGCCTTCTCATGGGCGCATATATTGTTTTACTCTGACTCCAATCTTTCAATGAATTACAGGGTCTAACCAGGAGATAAGTTTCTCTTTAGATATTAATGTCCACAAATCATGACAGAGAGAATATTTTAGATTTCTAATAAGGAATTGGGGACTAGCCAAGGATCAGCCAAAGGCTTTTCAACGAAAGTGGGGACATTTTGAATGGCTACTACTGTAATATAGTATAGTGATAGTAGAGTAAATCCTTTCAGGAAACTCATGAATTGTTTTCCCCACTGAGTGCAGAAATGGAATTACAGGTTGACAGTTTACACTGAAAGGATAACACTAACACTGTTTTGACCAAGTAATAGTGAAGAAGCTGTCTTACATTTTACTTAGAATAACAAAAGCAGTTCAACTGTCATGGATGAAGGCTTGAGGGGAAACGAGCATGAGGCAAATCTGGAAAAAAAAAAATAAAGTCACTTTTATATGCTATACCTTTACTTTTCTGTTCCTTTTGATGGGTTCAATATGTGTTTCAAGTTTGCTGTCAAGTATGTTTCACCTACTTGACAGCATAAATCGGATGTATGATAGAATCCTGCCATTCCTATAGTTTTAAAAATAAAGAAG